CAAATATATCGTTTATTGTTGTTTTCGAACCCCCTATTCAAAAGTGCTGGCTACGGGCCTGTAATGGTTCCCTTCACAATCATAAATAAGATATACTAAATTGAAATGAATAATTTAAATGTCTGACACAAAGTTTCAAAAAAATCGCTAGATCATTTGGTTAGGTCTTCCATACAAGTGTTTGCCACTGCCGATCAACTGGTTCATACTTTTCGGTCATTTAATAATTCTAAATATTGATTCAAATTGTAATGTTTCGGATTTGACCTATGACATCTACTTGTTCAGACGACTATGATTTGACACTCGTTTAGGAGGCTTTTGGTCGATTTTCCAATACTATTTGCCAAAAGACAACCGAATAGATACATTTTCAAACATAACTCGCAACTTTACACTCTCTTTATCCATCTTTGTACACAATTTCTTTACATTTGTATATTCGGTCTGTTTGGCCGACTACATCTATACTAGGATTGTTTTAAAACGACTTTTAATTAAAAATTCTAACATTCATCTACGGGACATTTTCCATGAAATCTCCCATCATTTCAATCACTTTTCACAACTAACGGACGGACAACAAATGCATGTGGAGTCTATATGTCATATCTACTCTTGTATTTTGTATTTCGCTGGCCATAAATTCTGATTTATTTACGCGCTAAATAAAAAAATACTCTGGTATTCCAACTAAATATAGATTTAATTATTTAATAATAGCATGTTGCAAATGTTACGGGTTGTCATTCATATGCCATAAGGAAACTATACAGCAGATGCGAGCATTGTTTCTGTGGTCTTACAAGCAAAATTAACGTTAACCAAAGAAAATGTGAGTATAGACAATCAACATATAAATGAGCTTGGTACAATTTTCATGTTAATCTCTTAGGTTGTACTGTATTGACATTTCGTATATGTTTCTTGTTTGTAATGTTTGTTTGTTTGTTTTAATCTTGGAATTTAATTAACTATGTGTTGGCATATATAGCTATGTAATATGATTCAACCATAAGACGTTAACATACACAACAATAACAATACTGACAATAGTACAGCTAGGAGCCGCTAACCCTACTTCGGCCAAAAATTCGCAGAATGCTTTCCCAGAGGTCTCAGTAATACACAGACGAAGAATTCCGTCCAATATATTTCAAACGATGTGGACTAAGTGAATTCAGAGTATATGAAACTAACCGTAATATCACGCAATTTAAACAAATTCAGTTCAAAGAATACACAGAATAGCCGACCACACGTACATATTAAAAGACAGATTTCCAAATACTGATATACTTATGATGTGGAAACACTGCTGGTTAATGTATATCTCTCAGTCCACAATCAATATATTGACAAATAATATCTTGAAACACGTGCTAGTTGCCATGTTGACATCATGATTTAAATGTAAACAGCAAAAAGAATGGCCACAATAAGCGCCTACAACGCTCAACCCACTATGAACGACTTTTTATAAGGTAACCTTTGATGGTTTTTTATGTTTCTGTGGATTATATTTTTGTTTCAAACTTGTTGTCTCCTGTATACTCTCGTGTGGAATCTATTATACTCTCTCAATGACTTCAGCTGAGCCTAATAACAGTATGAGGTTATTAAGTATGCACAATGACAGCACAACGGAAGAACTTTATTTGGTGGATTCCGGACAAACCCTGGTGGCAGCCATGTTTGTTTTTATTATTTGAGGACGGTTACGCGCGTAATCATTCCATATTTGGAATTCGCATTTCCTAATATGCTAAGATGAAAATACTCCGTAAAGTACCGCAAAATTACGGCACGATGTAACGTATGGCGTTACGTTGACTGATGTATAATGATGTACTTTATTTCCATTATAATATCAGAAGGCCTGTTATTATGCGCACATGATTACTGGATGTATTTCAGTTATGCATTAAAACCTGGTCTGAATATCGCAATACCTCTATTGTAGTAGGTTGCCCTTCAAAGTATAAGCACTATACATGTTTTGGGCTATACATTTGTCTTCTTATTATGCCGAAGAAATGGCTGTGCTGTGCACAGCAACCCTTATTTAAAATTACTGTTGATATTCTGTTAAGACAAATGTTCGCCTTTTAGACTGCATTTGTCATCTGTATTTCTTTCGAATTATGTTCATTGAGATTACTGTATGTTATGTCACAGTCCCTCCACACCCGGTTAGGAAAAACTCTGAGATCTATTATCACAATGCGTGTTTCGTGTTCGTAAAATTAGTTTGCTGGAAATCCCCACACTGTCTACATTAACAGAAAATTAGCATGACATAATTTTCACCCAGAATACCTCGCGATTATTTTCTGCGCAGGCGTACACACCTTTATTTTCATGTTTCACTGCTGTGAAAGTTTAAACTTATTGTAATTCATTGTAACGAAATGCGGGGAAAGATTTTGCCGATTTCAGCGACTGTGATATTGATTTAGGTGACATAATGGAAGAAGCACCTCAGTATTTAGATGCAATATTTTGGGATATCTAACCCCCAAATAGTATTAACTATATGATAGTTTAAGCCGTATTGCGCATATACGAAGAGTCTCACAGCATAATGGCGATAATATTAGGTATCCTCATCTTAAAAACAAAAATTCTGCTGAGCACATGTACCGAGTAACGTGACATACTGTTATTTAATATAACTAGATTGATTCATATAACAACCTGGACTCGGTTATGTTATCCAAGAGCTATAATTAATTTCGTTTTTTTATGCCAGGTGTTGTCGTTAATTCTCCACCAGTGGAGAAGCAGTTGTCTATGCAGAACATGCGTAGGAAAGCCTAATTTACTATTCATTTATGCAGAACAGAACCTGTCAGTCTTAGTTAGCTGACCTGATTTAAATACGAAATCCACTTTTAATTGACACGTTGTTTACGTGTGATATTCACACCTTTCAAGTTAACAGTACCACCGGATCTGTAATATGCGATTATGCTAATTAATATTACTGGTTTCAATTCAGCTGTTTTTTATTATACATATCCACTTATTTCATGAATCGTCATACTAAACATTAAACAGTCATTTTGTGAATTGAAAAAAAGAACTACGAAAACTTTGTTGTAAAAACACCGTTATTTCAGAGACGAGTTGTCGTCCATGTATGAATGAAATGTGATCGTCATAACACCGTCTTTTTAATTTCAAATTACTGCTATTTAAATTACAACTTAAAATTTATACAATTAAAACAATTTATGAATGTATGGTCAGAAGGACCTTCAGAAGGACTTCGCACAGATCGACGATTTATCTAACTGATCTGTATGTAAATGTGTATTACTTGTAATAGGCTATGTTGAAATCGGCTGACTGCTGTTGTTTTATACTGCCCCTCCCCCCAGAACCCCACCCCAATATCTAACCAATCAGTGGGAGAAACAAAAGTTGAAACTGTACAGAACGTATTTCAATTGTCAGCTAAAGTGACAAGACTGGACAATCGTTAGCGAGTTCCCGGCGATAGTCATTTCAGGCCCCGGATGTACGAGCGGGATTACTCTGGCAATATCAGGGCAAAACTATGTCTTTGAAATGTCAGGCAATAAACCTGAATCTCATAGACGTATGGTTTCGTCCCCATATAGAAACTGTTTCAGAAATGAGCTACACAGAGCACATCGACAATATGCCATCTGTAGTTATTTCCAGGTTATTCAGGCATTTGTGAGCTAAGGTTACACCGGACATTTATGAGTGAGTTAACTGCGACAGTCGTTTCAGGACCCAGATGTTCGGCCGAGATTTCTTCGGCGAAACCAGTGTTAAACGCTCCCTTCAAACTGTCAGGCCATCTTATAGATACAATTATGGTTTTGTCCCAATTTATACACAGTTTCCGAAATAAGTCACAAAGAGCATACTGAAAATCGGTATTTTATTGCCATGATATTATATTATATGCTAATGATCAAAAGGAATGCTCTTTATGAGCATTGGTTTCAACTCCACATCCGCGAGATGTTTACTCCGGTTGGGTTCCCCTCCCATATAATTATCAAATTCAGTAATGTGCAACTATGTCGTTTGTTTCGTGCCCTCGCTGGAAATTGACCCGGCTTGTTGATAAGAGAGCCTCTGCTTCAGTAGGTAATCTGAGCATCGTAAAATCCATTAATAAAACCGAAATATAATAAACAGAGGAACGTTTCAGTCATGCTGGTACATGGACGCCATTACAAGGTAAAATGTTTTTCAGCAGCAGAACTCAACATTACCAGAAGTTTCTCTTGTAACAAATAACAGGTAACTGTGAACAGCTATAAGACTCAGTGGGCTGTGCTATTCTAGCTTTTAAAAGAGGTACTATTCAAAAGAAGTATGTGAAAGAATAATACGTAACAGACTTAATTTTTCTATTGCTATTATCTTGCCTGTTAAACATACATAAAACCAAGATTTGACAAGTAGCAAAATGAATATTTTTATAACAGCAATAATTAATGCACATGGCAGCTACAGTTCGAAATCATTATTTTTTCGTGATTTATAATGAATATGAACTTTAAACTACACGTGCCTTTTCACGGAACCGAAATGATCACACAGAGACTTGTAATTAATAACATGTGGCGACTTTGCTTGAAAACACGCAATATTTGTAAACGTAACACAGATATAAGTGCTTCAATGAACTCCACGAAAATGCTATAACGTCGCCACTGTCTCTTCACAAGCGCAAGACATACTGTATGCGGGACTCGCGCGATTCACACCTCAGAACAACAGCGTTTCCAAATCGGGTGTTGAAGAACTGTGGTTATGTATACGTAGCCACGACACGAAACTACACACGTAAACATTTCCACTTCGTAATACGGGTGCGAATACTTGATGTTTCAATAACATTGATAGGATATAACATACTTGTACATAATATAGAAACGCAAACAACCCTACTAAAGCATTGATTTTTTGTCTATTTTTTTTCAGCACGGAAATTCATCATGGTACCAACACGCATTATCTTGATTTTAATTATCTTGTTGTCGTCAATCTCCCTACTGGAAGCTTTTTTGTTTGATGATGTTGGTGGTTATGGTATGGCCGGCGGCGGCTATCTTGTCGAACCCCGAAAACGCTTCAGTATGTTAAATCTCATATCGAAAAGAATGACTGGCGCCAGTACAAACAACTGAAGCTATCCTTATACATATGCATTTATGATTCAACTAATGCATTTAAGAGTATGTAAATAAAAATGTTTAGCGTAAATCACTAAACTGTAAAACAGACTTGTCATGTATTACGGCGTGACATACTTTGAAAATGAAAAAAAAAACGCTCAATACAAACTCAGAGAGTTAGAACCATACACAAATATACACTCAGTGGAATTAAAGCAATTATTTGACTTTTTGGGCAACACCATTAAGTGAACAACTTTGTACAGGGATACAGGAACGTGCCATCGAGGTAATTCAAAATTATCTTGAATATGCAATGGGTTCGCTTAGAGTTACCACGAGAAAAACGTAAATAAATATTGTAATAACCCGAAAAAAATCACGCAAAACTAAGTAATTAGCATACTAAGCTCGTAGAAGGATTTAAAAAAGGAAAAGAAGACTCAAGTCAAGGTATGTTTTGCTGGATATTAGGGGTCACGATATAAACAGATTATTATCTTCTGTGGTGTAGTCTCTCTCTGTATAAAATTGCTTAATAGGCAGTATTTTTGTTTAAGTTGTCTCGAAATTCAAATCCTGGGTTACAATATACTTATTATATCGATTTAATAACTTGGATTGGTAGAATTTATTTGAACTAATACTACAGTTGTTTACAGTAGAAAAAGTGATTTCACTATACACATATATGAACAGTTTATTATCACAACGCTTTGACAAATGTTTTCACGCAAAATAAAATCTAAATATTAAAAAGTGCTTGTATCAGCGACACTTTTCAAAATGCGTTTGGTAATAAATTCGATATGGAAAACACACCAATAAACATCATTCTAGATAAAATGCCAAGGATTGGATATCACGAAGGTAATAGTGGGTTTGCTGTTTGATTCGTTGGTATTTTGGATAACACGAGTCACACATATTTTTGTTCGCCTGTTCGTGGAATGTCTACAATCACAGACCAGTTATCGTCGAATTTTAAATACAATGATTACTTAAAGTTGTGAAATGTCCATATTTCGCTCTATTGACGATAAAATAATACATTCATTTGTAGTCAAATCTGATATAAAAGGAAAAAATTGTTACGTTGACAAACAAAAATAAGTTGTTCTCATATTGGGCAGATTGTCGGGTTTTAGAGTAGGACATCCAATCAGACATGATCTTACAAGTAGCTTTGTAGTTTACTGGTCTATTTCTCGGCATATATATATAGAATGTATGTCACATGATTCAATCATATGAAAGTTAATATACAAAGCAATAACAATACTGATAATAGTTCTGCTAGGAGTCACTAACCCCACCTCGGCAATACCTATCTACTGCAGAGGTCGCGGCAATACACAGACGAACAATTCCGTCCAGAGTTCCCACAAAAACAAAGTCGACGACAAAGTCCGTCATATAGCATTCAAACAAGTGGTCTCAATGAATTCAGAGTACATGAATATGAGAAATATCAGTGTAGGGAATACACCGATTAGACGAGCAGATTCCATCATGAAAAATAGATTTGGTATCGGGACCAAGTTTAGCAAAATTCTTATTGCATTATTGTATACCAATAAAACAAATAACTTTCCATTTTGTATTAAAACCGGATCGGTCTTTCTAAGATGATAAACGCAGTGCGAAATCTTTAAAACAGGCAACTCACCGATATTAATTTAGTTTAGTACCATTGTCACACTCATATATTACTCGTGTATATCCATTATATTATGCAGATTGTCGCCATGGCAACATCATACACACTGTTGATATTCATCGTCTTGTTGTTGATGACTACCCTACTGTAGGTATGGTATGGGCGTCCATGTTTATGATGGTTCTGATCTAATCGGTAAATACTCTATTATCATGAAGATCATATTGAATCTGAAACTTCAAACAGTTACGTAGACATAAGAAAACAACATCGATGACAACATCGCTTGAATGACAACTGCTTTTGACTTATGCATTGTGGTAGATAAAATACACTGTAAATCTAGGTGTTTTAAAATATGACATATTTTTTTCCCCACTTTAAAATCACTTGTAATGATTTATAATTAAACATATGAAAAGTTTTTTTCTTAAAATCGCAAATGAGTATTTTACAACACTACTGTTTTAAAATAAAACATTTTTAATGTTTTGTGAACAAATATTTAAAGTGTTTATAAGCTTGTCCCCACTTTAAAAACATTTAAATTGTTTATAATCTGCATAATTGCGAGAAGTGTTTATTATGAAAACACTTTTATTGAAACATTTCAGGAATGTTTTTGCCCATGACACATTATGTAAAGTGGTGCCATTAGAGCACGTTTTTGAAAGTATTTCCACCAGAAACATGTATATCAAGTGCTTATTATCATAACACTTTTAAAAGTGCTATTACTAGTCACACATTTTATAAAGTGTCTATACGCACGACACGTAGAAAAATATTTTAATGAAGTGTTTACTATCACAACTCTTTGAAAAGTAAAACACAAATTTAATATTGACAAGTGCTCGTAACAGAAACAAATTTCAAAATGTATTTACACTGATAACATGCTAAAAAATCATTAACATTATGATTTTTGAAAACAAAATATATCAAATGATGCGTTTTTTGCATTATTGTACAGTGATCATAAAATGTATGTATTCCTAAATATAAACATTAATAAGGTAAGTTCGAGTTTAACATTTAAAAAAACAGACATGCATAGTTGTTGTAAAAGATATTATCAATCACATGAAGACGTGTCCTTGAATTGATCGCAAAAACTAGTTGTACATTGAAAATACATTCTATAAACTTAAAATATCAAAATAATCAGCACGACCCTTCTACTGTAAATATGTGACATCACAATAATAAAAATACAAACAAAAAATGCTTGATGTCTGTTTCATATTTGTGACGAAAGTAAAAAACAGCTGGTCTGCTCGATTGAGCTTAACTTGACCACCTGACCATCCGGCTATTAGGGTCATTTGAATTTTATTCGAATTTGCAGTCATATAATGTTTGGAAATGTTTTCAAACTGCATTCGTTTGCACTTGTGTCTTTCATAAGTTAATCTGTGACCTTTTCGTGCTTTAGCAGTCAGTTCGATAATAATCGGACATTTACGACATATTTATTCACTTTTTCGAATTTTTAAGGACGGGATAAGACGCACGAGAAAGAACCTCGAATATTGAAGATCTAAATAATGTTTTACGTCTAGCAGGAGTGAAGTATGCGAGATATGGGAGTCTCTGCGCAGTACGAGCGGCCATCAATTGACTCACTAAAGCAAGACCGCGAGTTTAACACTACAAACTACACATCGAGAAATTGAGGGATAACTTTGAACACATATAAAATCTGCCAGATGCATTTCAACAAGACAATCATTCCACCGATGACTTCGTGGCACACATAATATGTATGCCACTAATAACAAGCAGATGCAAATAGCAACATACGACGTTTCAGCTCCCACGTTGACTTCTTGCAGCTTCCACCAGCACTTCGCCGGAACGTTCAAACAAACCGGACCGGACAGCTAACAATTTTCAAGAGCAGCCCTCATTTCCTTATAAACTGAGAAACCAGTCACTAATACTGGTAAAAATCATAGTATTATTAGTTTGCCGTCTATTTGCAGTCTCACCTATTCAACGTAAAACAAAAGCTTTTTATAGCCAAAGCAGACTGCTCAGCTCAGTACAAGTAAATATGCAATTATACACGCAAATATACCAACTTTATACTCACTTAGCAAAACTTAATTGCTTTCATCCATTATGTGCGGACCGCAAATAATAGTTGAACATTGAAAATACGTGCAAATTTAAAACATTCTATTAACTTAAAATATCAAAATAATCTGGAAGAATTTTTATTGTTAATGCGTGACATCACAATAATAAAAAAAAAATGCTTTATGTCGTTTTCATACTTGTGACGAAAGCAAAAAAGTATTTAAACAAATATTTGGTTAGTCTCCCTTGCAATTACTAGCCACGCCCGATTGATCTTAACTTTTGTGAGAGGTCGATCACCTGACCACTCGCCTATCAGCGTCACTTGAATTCGCTTCGAATTGGCGGCCGTTTTATGTTTGGAAATGTTTTAAAATTGCATCCGTGCACTTGTGTCTTTCGTAATATGACCTGTGACCTTTTCGTCCTCAATGTTGAAAGCGCTGTTTAAAGTAATGTTTTTATTGCTGATTATTCATAACTGAGGAATGATTGTTCAGTTATATGGAGTACTCCCTGAACCATGGCTGTCTTACTGGAGGCGGTATTTACATTGTTTTGATACTGGTCATACATCTTGAACTTACAACAACTATGGGTGTTATTTATACGGAGCAGTTTGGTTATCTGTCTATTATTGCACGTCAGTGCTCCTATTACAATTTACACAACAATGGTAGGGTAACAGAATATATTCTAATGACAAGGCAACACATATCTTAAATGTACTTAGATGATGTTGTAATACAAATCATAACAATTAATTTGCTACTAAAAACTGTCATACTGTTCGTATTTTGACAATGCATTTCGTGGCATGGTTAACGCAATACATCATAATAGCCATAAAGATATATACTTTTACGTATTACATAATGGGATGTAAACATTTAATTATTCATTCAACACGCTGAATGGAATAGAGTCATAACTACAGTTAGCGAGATATTATTAAAGTTACGTGCAACGTTCTGAATTCATTTGGACTTTAAAAGCATTGTTACATAATTCTACAAAATGGTTCGCCTTCACAGTCATAAATAAGATATACTAAATTGAAATGAATAATTCAAATGTCTGACACGATATTAAAAAAAATCGCTAGATCATTTGGTTAGGTCTTCCATACAAGTACTTGCCACTCCCGTTGAAGCTTAACACACGTTGAACACTTGACAATAGAGCTACTTAGGCATGATAAACTGGTTCATAAATTTCGGTCATTTAATAATTCAAAATATATATTGATTCAAATTGTAATGTCTCGGATTTGACTTTTGACATCTACTTGTTCAGACGACGATGATTTGACACTCGTTTACGAGGCTTTTGGTCGATTTTGCAATACTATTTGCGAAAAGACA